CCAGCGGCCATCACAAGGTAACCAGGTGCCAAAAACCTCTGCAGAAAGCTATTGCCAGAGTGGATAACATGCAGCTAGATGGACCAGTTGTTGGAAGCAGCAAACGTAATCTCCTTTCCTTATTAAGACACTTTTGAAGCTGGTGACACAGCTTCAGGAGGCCTTGTGAGTAATGCAGATGTTTTTACTAATTTTTATTATATTTATACTTAAACTTTTCTTTGTTGGTTCATGTTATTTTGAGTTTGGGGTCCATTTGCACCACCAATATATATTGACTGGATTTTCTACAACCCTCACTCCAAGCTTTCAACCAAAGAAGAACCAGGTGATAAGATGGGAGGATCTCCAAGGTGAAACCCAGAGGCAATGCATTAATCACTCTCCCTACATGATGGAAGTTCCACTTTCCATTACTCCACTTGGTCCCTTCAATTTGGCTAGTAGTTATTGTGTAGTTCACTGAGCTGAACAACTAATCCAGTTGTAAGACTTATTTTAAATACATTACCTATTACCTTGGAAGTTTTCAGTGATTTCAGTTGCAGATTCTTGGAAGCATATTCCATAAAAGTCAATGGGATTTGCTTCCTAACAATTCTACTTAAAGGCAGTGCAATGGTTGCATTTTTGTTTTGTTTTGGGGGGTTTGTTTCTTTGTTTGTGATAATAAGGCCAATCATTTTCTACTGTACGCATGCGTGCACATGTGCTTTTTTACTTTACAGTCCTATTCACACTTTACTGGGATTATATTCCAATAGTTTATTTTTGAGTACACAGGTACTTACATGGAGGTAACCTGCACTGATCTTCCTGCCAGGTAAAGGTGTTTAGAATGGTATGCAAACTGTAAAAAATTAACCGGTTCCCTAATCCTTGCCTCCTCCGAAGTAAAAATATAGTAATCACCTTCTTCTGACTACTGTGGCCATTAACTAATCTGTCTCCCTTATGTTTTAACCTCCGCACCATTTCTGAAGTTAAAGAATAGGGTTCATATTTAGGCTGACTTAAAACGCAGATTAGTTCTGCTTAACACACTGTAGCCCTTGTACAATACGCTCTGAATTAAAAAAAGAAGTTGAAATGCATTGTTGCAGGCAGAAACCAGTGTTCTTATCTGCATTAGCAGTTGCAATGAATAAGGAGAATGCAGTACTGCGGATTAGGTAATGTGGATTGAAATTCTCTATTTCTGCGGATTGAAATTCTCTATATGGCAATAGAGAACTGAGTCTGGCCAGCTTCCCCGCTCTTCTTGCCAAGGTTGCTTTACTGACGGTAGAAAAAACTTCCACTCTAGACCTGGGGTGGGGGAATTTTACATCCCACTCCCCATAGCTCACCTCCCCTGGAGTGGCTGGCTGGTTTCTTCCTTTAACGGCAGCCATTGATTAAGAAGGGCTTCGAGGGATTTACATGGAGTGTGAACCCCCTTAGTAGCCTCAGGAGGTTAAGAAGAAACTGGGATATGATTAGTAAACAAATTGTGCAGCAAGGTGCTGGATTCTTATTGACTTACTTATAGGTCATCCACTGCCGGTGCTAAGGGAGAAACTATTTACTTTACACATATACTTTATGATCTTGGGGGAATTAGAGGAAATTCAATAAGAAAACCGCTAGAATCGTTTAAAACCCCCTGTTTAAAAGACTTAAGCAAATTAGAGTCTTATCAGATTAATGTCCTCTACAAATGTAGGAGTATTGTCTCCATCCAAATGCTGTGGGGTCTAAGAAATGGTGTGTGTGTGTGTGTGAAGACCGACTTTTTGCCAAATCTCAGGGATAAACCACGTCATTTAAACACTGGATAATGAGCAGAATGTAAATTAATTTGACCTTCTTTACCAACAGACGGCTAAAATAATATGTAGAGTTTAACGATAAGTAACTGAAATTGGGTGAGAAGAGGTACAGGCAGAGTATCCCAGAATGGGACTGCCCCCATTCAGAAAGAGGTGGGTGGGGAGTGAGCTTTGGCATAAGAGAAGGATGCTCAGCCATGTGAAATTGTTTTCTCATAAATAGTAATCAAGGCGACCCTCTAGATTGTTTGAAGGCATTCTGAAGATCAATTCATGTCTACTAGCTATGTGTTAAGAAACTTTCAATAGGGTGATGAAATCATAGCCAGGAGATGCTTCTGCTGAGGAATAAGTAGATTTGATAATTGCCCATTCCAATCGGAGAGGTAGTTATTCTGGATTAGCTGACTGTGTGTATGGGATCCTTCCATTGTCTAGCATGGACGCCGTGCAAGAGAGAAATCTGGCACTGTGTGCATTCGGCATTGCGGGATCCGCTGGATCAGAAGTATTTTCCCATCTCTTTGATTTAGGGGAGAAATGGCGGGTCTGATTTTAATCCTCTGTTTAGAGGAGAACCACTTTTTGTCATTGTGGACTCTAAAGGGACTTTCTAGTCAGGCAAATGGTGGAAATGATTTTTCAGTAATTCTATTCTACAGTTTTATTCTAATTCTACATTTCTATTTTCATTCCCTTATATTTTGTAATATAACACCACTTGTTAAAAAGGAAAACCAAAGAACCTTAACAAATCATGTATGCAGAGCCTGATAGAAATATTAAATAACAGCAGCATGGTTTCTACTGGAGTGTATAAATCGAATAATTCTCTCTGTCTGAGTATGGTCACATTTGTTTGGCTTAAGATAAGTCCTATTTTCATCATATCAAAATTGTGAATAGGGTGAAGGGGGAATCATTCCAAGAGGGGAGAGGAACTAAAGTTTTCCTTGCTAGTAGTGACTCAATTCAAATTCTAAAACCATTTATTTAGATATGAGTCCCATTGACTTAAATAACAACTATATGCTTGCTAAGTGTTGAATTAAACAAGTATCAAGGTAAACAAAATGCCTTAATCATGTGGTCTATTTCTATGGATTCTCTATTTTTTCTCATTCTGCTTGTACATAATCTAGGCTGCAGTGCTATATACCAAAGAGCCTGGAAGTAAGCCCGAGGGCGATTTACTCTGGAGCAGACTGAGTAGGATTGCATGCATAATTAGATATTCATAAGTATCTCTAACAAATACCATTTGGGAATTTTAAAAAATAATTTACAAGATATATACATCGAGATAGAAGTTTAAGCAGATAGAATGTTAATTTTTTGATCTAATTGATAATGAAATAGTATTCCACTGTCCATCAGTTGTTTATGTATGTTTGCTTAATAGTTTATTGGACCTTAGGCTGAAATCGTGCACCTACTTACTTCTGAGTAGGTATGTATAGGGTTGCACTGTACCTTTTCCAATGAGCATCTTTAGAATTGAGATATTAAACCGTAAACTTCCCCCACAAAAACCTCTTCCCATTTAGGTATTAGATATGAAATAGAGGTTTTAAAGGTGTATTTGGCTGAAGAAAAAATCCTGTTTTTAAATCCTGCAGATTTTTACATACGTCTGTATTTATGATTGTCCATATAAAATACTTCGAACGAGTAGAAAATCACTTTTTTGGAAAAGACAATTTTAAGTTGTCGTGTCTGGGCCAGGCATTCTAGTATACTTTTAATCATGTTCGGGAGAATGAGAGGGAGTGAGACTTGTGATTAAGAGCCGCTTCAGCATTTGTGGTCTGAAAAGGCGAGGTTTTCTCACTCTTTCTAATGGTGATCTCCTTTTAAGGCTTGCCTTTGCTTTTGGTTTTTGACTTTGTCTCCTAAGCGTACAGTTTCTCTTCTGAGTCATTTCAGTAAAGTTCCTGAGATGACAGCATACATTCTCGCGGCTGCGGGGTCTTCTGAGCATACCTGGCACCTCTCAACGCCGTTGAAAAGCGTGTGCGTGTGGGGAGGGGGGTGTTCTGGGAGCCCTCTCGCTGGCTCCCAGAACCTGCCAGGGCGACGCGCAGCCCTCTCCAAAATAAACGCGTCTTAACGCGTCGTGCAGGTTGAAACCTGGGGCAGAACAGACGCAAGGAGAAGATTGTCCCGGCCCCAGATTCCTTTCCGCTACCCCCCTGCTCTGGTTTTTGCTCTGCTGAGATGCATGCGCTGCAAGGCAAGAGGACCTCACTGGCGAGGAGGCAGAAGAAGAAAAAGAGAAGAAAGAAATTGGAAGAGAGAACGCGCGAGGGAGAGAGAAAGAAAGAGAGAAAGACGTTTAATTTAGCCCGGCCCGGAGCTTCTGATAGGCTGGGCTTATTATAGCCTTCGCTCGGGCGTAGCGCCTTCTGATTGGCGGCGCGCCGCGTCACTCTCGGCCTCAGCGGCTAGGCGAGGAGGCGGGGGCGGGCGGAGGGGCGGGAGGGGAGCGCGAGCGGGCGGCCGGGTGATATCACTGCTCGGGAAGGCCGCCTCCGGGTTTAAGATGTTAGGCAAACGGGGGAGCTGCTGAGGCGCTGCGAGCGAGGGTGCACCGCTCGCCCGAGCGCGCAGTGGCCGGGAGGAGCCGGGCGCCGCGGAGCCGGGCTGCCGGGCTGGGATGCGCCGCGTTTCGCTCTCGCCGCCGCCGCCGCCGCTTTGGATCTAAGCCGCTCGACCTGCGCCTGTCACTCTGGCCCAGCCCGCGCGCCCGTTGGCCGCCTGGTGATTACTGCTGCGCCTAGAAGCCCGCCCCGGGAGTGTATCGCGGAGGGGCGCTTCGCTCTCTTTCCACGGCGCTGCTGCTCTCGCCGGGGGCTCATGCGGGGCAGCCCGGCGGGGGACTCGGCGGCGGCGGGGGGGCGGGCGGGGGGCCACGTCGCTTTGATCCCTCGGGCCGGACCGCCGAGCGCGCGCGAGCTGGAAGCGACACGGTGCGGCTGGCCGGGGCGCTGCTCCAGCTGCCGCTCGCGCGACTCCTGCGCCGCAGACTGCGGCTCTCCGCTCCGGGGGGGCGCACACGCGCACGGACACGCACACGCACGCACGCCCGCCCGCCCTCCGCGCGCACCGACACGCTCCCACCCACCCACGCAGCCGAGCTTCTCCGCCAGCCCGCGGCGCCCGGCAGTTCGGGCTGGATCCCTGCGCCCGATGAACTGCCTGAAAGAGCCGCTGAGCTTGGAGCGGCTGGGAGCCGGGAATAAACTGTGCTCCACCTCCCCATCTTCCACCTCGTCCTCCGCCTCGGCCTCCTCCTGCCACCACCACCACCACCACCACCACCAGCCGGCTCTGGTCATGGCTTCAGCCCTGACTCCCGGGCAGCCGCGATCGGCCTTGGATTCTGCCAAACACCGGCTGGAGGTGCATACCATCTCGGACACCTCCAGCCCCGAGGCCGCAGGTAAGAGTCTCTGCCGGCTGCACGGCTTCGCCCCTGCTCTCCACAAGCACCACCAACCGAGGGATCCCGCCCCCTCCTTAGACTTCCGAGGAGGGGAACTGGGAGGATGGGATAGGGTCCCGATCCTGCGCTGCCTTGCCGAGGGACGCAAGAAAATGTTTCTACTCTCCCCCCTCTCCCCGTTCCCCGGTGTTACAAATGGCCCTGCTGTCGAGTCAGATTCTGAAAGGCGTTTGGCTGCTCCTTTACTGTCGAGAGGAAAAGAGAGCGCAGGCCCCCGATTCCACCTCCAGGGACAATACGTGTGTTTGCTGTGGAGAGACTGTAGCCTGGAAGCGAAGGCAGCGGGGCTTGGGGTGGGGGTGGGGGGCGGGGTGGTACGGGGCGTTCATGAAAGACTGCCAGAGCGACAATTGTCACTGTCATTTAGCCGGACCATCTCGGCATAAAGAGCAGCAGTCGACTCAGAAATCTGTTTAAGAACAAACAGGCTCTTCATAGAACTACACAAGCTGCAGTGGGATAAATATGTTCGGGGATCTATGGGGTCTTGAGAGAGACTGCGAGCCAGCCGAAGTCTATTGGATCTGAACCGAGGGAACCCCATAGGTGTCCAAGAGGCTAATCCTTCCCATAAACCCCATTCAGCACAACCGATCGTGGGTCGGGCGTGCTTCTCAGGGAACATGGCTCGGCTCAGCGGCATATCGGCTTCTGTCGGAGTATTTGTGCTTTAGCTGGGGAGGCCCTGTTGGGCACAGCGGGGGCTTACTTTTAAGAAGATGTGGGCAGGATTTCCGCATCTGTGGGGTGGATCAGAAGGACAATTTCTCATTTTTTCCTAGTTGGAAGTAGAAGAACCCTGGTTTAAATAAATGATATTTGCTGTTAAGTACATACGACAGGACTTGCAGTCTCATAGTACAGATACCTATAGTTTTACCTACAGGAGTTAGCATGCATTCATTGCAATTAAAGTATGACATCTCGGCCCCTTTCCAAACGTCAGCTGCTGTCAATATACTCGGAATGTGAAGAGGTTTTACCAGGCCATTCATACCCCTATTCACTTCAATGGGAATGTACCAGTATCAGGGGAAGGTAGATCAGCCCACCAATTTCGTATATAATATTTAGCATAATTTATGTTCTATCCCTGCATCAGAAAAAGGTGGTCATGTCTAGATATGTAAGTGTATGTATAATTACCATTCGCATGGAGATCCTGATGCGCACTTCTGATGATGTTCTCACCGGGTAGCTTTTAAAGGTTTGCATGCGCACACCATGGTGCCTGATACAGGCACAACACAGATCATTCCTGGTGCAAAGTCTGTGGCTAGACAGTATATCCTACATTACAGAAGCTCTGTCGGTGCAGAGCTGTACCTGTCATTCCTTAGGTATAAGCGTTTAATTGCAATAAAAATATGGCTGGAGAGAGAGAGAGAGAGAGAGAGAGAGAGAGAGAGAGAGAGAGAGAGATCAGAGGAGCAAACCTGAACCCATGTCACTGATGAACTAAGGAAATAAAGATTATATATCTTAAACATTTTAGAGGAAGTATATTTTAAGATAAGTTATTTTTATTCCTGTGATGTAAAGCCCATGCTTCTGGAAAACCTTTCTCTGCGTGCACGCAGAGACTGCATCAAGATGTGTGGGGCAGTGTCTACTATCGGTACATACACGGTACATATTAAAAGGCAGAAGGCATCATGTTAACCGAAGCGCTTTGGACTGACGCTGATTCACATGCTCAGTCCTCTCTACTTTTCCTGGGAAGTGCGTGCCATTGATTCCAGTAGCTTAGGGACGCAACCTCGCTTCGCCAGTTCGAAGCACGCAACTTGACAACTGATAGCAATGGGATTTCTTTCTAGGTTGGTTGGTTTGTGCCATATGAATCCTAAACGCGCTCACTGATTTCCAGTGGATTTCTTCCCTGGTTTGTTTAGGATCGCAGCCTACGGATGGGGTTTGTCTACTTCCCAACTTTTTAACAAAGCATATTAGTTTGATTTCCCTTGATTTCACTGGAAAGGACTGGCTTCGAAGTAAGGGAGAGTAGAATGGCAGCTGTTTCCATTGGCTTGCTTCGCATCTCCTCCGGCTCAACCGAGTCGTGAATGGCGCCAAATGCGGGCTGTTGTCTAGTTAAGCGAGGCAGCCAAGCCATTTGGATCGTTCTCCTTCTCCGTTGACCTCCCCTCTCCTCTGGTCTCCTCCCCCCCGGAACAAAAAACCAGCAGCGATAGGCTGTTGATTGGAGGGTCCTTTGCTTTGCAGAAAAAGACAAAAGCCAGCCCAGCAAGAATGAGGACGCGGGCGCCGAGGATCCGTCCAAGAAGAAGCGGCAGCGGCGGCAGCGGACTCACTTCACCAGCCAGCAACTGCAGGAACTGGAGGCCACTTTCCAGAGGAACCGCTACCCGGACATGTCGACGCGAGAGGAGATCGCCGTGTGGACCAACCTCACGGAGGCCAGAGTCCGGGTAAGCCCCGGGACGCGCGCTGCTTGCGCGGCTGCCTGGGCGGGGAGGGAGCGCCGCTTGCAACCTGCGGCCGCGGCGGGCGGCCGCGTCGAGCGAGTCCTCAGCGTGGCCGGCGCAACGCGGCCGCTTTCGGTTTCGCCTCCCGCGAGGCGGGCTTTGGCCCAGGCGCAGCGCCTGGCTTCTCGCTGTCAAGCGGAGATGTACTGCCATCTCCTCGAGGGATGATGGATGGCCCCGGCTGTGCAGCGCGCTCCGAACGAGATGCGAACGAGCGGAGGGGAGAGTCGCCAAGAAACCGAAGTCAGGGCAAGCTCCGACGTGCGCCCAGCCGCACGAAGCCTCTGCTCCGTCCCAGGCACCCGCGACGTGCCCTGCCCTGCATTCTTGCGCCCCCCCCCCGCTCCCTCCGCTTTCACAGCTCCGGTGGCTTGCCCTGCGCCCCCACCTCCTTCTCGCCTTAGATTTATGCTTCTCTGCAAGGGCCAAAATGTTGCAAGATCGCGCATACCCCTCTGCAAAAACTAAGGCGCGGTACCAAGAATACAGGTCTCCAAGAAGGAAGTCCCATGAAAATGAATGGGGCACTTTCTCGGAGGTCTCCAGCCCTAAACTCCCTTTCTCTGCCAGGGAAGGCAGCGGGTTTAAAACTCTGCGAGGCAGATGGTTTAAAATCGGACTACGATGTCTCTCTGGAATGCAGCGTCGGCCTGTAACTCGAGGCTACCTTACTCTAGAGCAGGGGTTTGGACTACAACTCCCATAAACCCTCAGCTAGCACCGCTGTTGGGCAGAGATTATGGAAGTTGTCGTTCAAAATGTCTGGAGGGCGCCAAGTTGTCTATCTCTGCCCTACAAAATAATCCTTTCCACCTATGTCAAGAGAATCTGAGGCCTCGGGCTGCAATTCTCCGCATCTGCTTGGAAGACACTTCCACTGAAATCAGTGACATGGTGAAATAAATGGTACATACCCCATGGCTAGCTAAGATGTGCTGGAGATGGTAGGACTTTTTTTTGTCTAAACATGTATAGGATTACATCTTAAAGGAGAAAAAACTGCTCTTTTTCTTCAGTGTTAAAAAGTGAGGATGTTTTCCTGGAAGAAAGTGAGAAAGAATGTGCAGGGAAATATGCAAAGTAATGAGGATTTACTCCAAGGAAGTGAGAATGGGACTGTAGCATAATTAGCTAAATGCTTGGATTAAAGTTCCACTCACCTCTATGTTTCTTACTTCCAAACAAGTGCTTTTAGGAATTAAATGTAACAGTGGAAAATGTATAGTTTTGCAAGAAACAAAATGCCTTGAAATAGCAATATAAAGAAGTTATTGGATTAATTTAACTTATGATGCTTTTATTTTAATGAATCAGATTTGCTAAATCCCAAGGTTTTTAATTAAAAATATGGGGACTGGGGCTCAGCTGTTTAGTGGAAATAAGCAATGAGTAATTTAAAAAAAAAATCCAAGGAGACACATAGGAACCTGGTCATATTGGCTTTTGACTTAGCTCACACTAAGTTCAGGCTGGAGCCAATCTGCAGCACAATCCATGCATGTTTACACAGAATTAAGTCCTACTTTTCCAGTGGGATCTACTCCCACATTAATGTACATAGCTCTGCATCCTCAGGCTACTGTCCTAAATCCAGTGCACTTCCTTAGTGAAAATAAGGGGATGTTGAAACAGAGATTATTGTGACTCCTTGAATACCAAGCAATTTATTCTGGCATAAGATGCTGTGTATTCCTTACTTATAAGTAAGGAAACTTGCTCAGGATTTTATGACATTTTGATTGGTATAAAAGGTATTCTGGGGTTTGGCTGTTGTTTTTAAAAAGACCAGCAGGGATACCTACAGTGTATGTACATGTGTATACACGTGCACATTCAGATTATATATAGAGAGTGGGGGAGAGTTTGAAATTAAGAGAGAAATGCAATTGGAGTTAGTGAGATTTGCAAGTCTCTATTAATGGGAATTTTAATGCAGTGGGGCTTACTTCTAAGTAAGAATGCACAGTAGAACAGCCCTGAATGCCAAAATCAACGTGTGTGAGTTAATGAGTTCATAGTGGACTCTTAGTGCAAAGGGAAAACAACGAGACTAAAAAGTTCACCTTAAAAATGAGGTTGCCAATTTGCATTGGAAAAGCCAGCTCTGCTTCCTTAAGAAGCTTGTGCTGTGTTTGTTTGTTTTTCCCCAGAAAGAGTAAGCAAAAGTCTTCAGCTATGAATTGTGCAGGCCCTGATTTTCAGCTTTCTTTCCCCCTCATTTGGAATCCAGAATGGCCATGTATATATAATTGAGAAAGATAGATATAACATCTGTATAGGTAGAAATTAATCAGCATAAACAGGCTAGGCTATGGGTTCTTATAGGTGTATGGCGTAGTGGGAGAGAAGAAAGAACGGTCCAGTTGAAAAGAGAGATTTGCAATGTTAAACGGGCAGGGTAAACAAAAGAGGTGTCCTGCAAGGGCTCGAATCCACATAGTAACGTTGCAGGAGGCGGCGGGCGGGCAAATCAGACGTGGGATGTGGATTGGAGAGGGACACACGCCTTCGCCATTGTCTGCGCAGCGGAGGCAGTGCTCCTTCTTAACACGTCTTGAAAGGGCAAACTTCGCCAAAAGCACAGGAGTATCAGTTGAGGTGGACGTGTTTGGGCTTTACTGATGATTAGCACATGAAAGAAGCTCTCCCTTTAACAAGCTGCTGAGGTAAAGATTTATGAGGGGTTCCCCACCCATTACTCATTATTACTATGATTTTCTTTGCGCATTTGTACAAAGAAAATATTACTGGGCTGTTGTTGCAATCTGTTGCTGGTTCTTTTGTTTGGTTTTGTGTCCATGTTCCTTGACTCTTTAGTCAACTTTTTAGAAGGCTGGGGTTGGTAAAGATGGATTTTCTTGGGGTATTTCTAAAGGAGGTGAAGGAGGCTTGTGGTTGAGGGGGAAGAAAAGTTTGCCATCCCTTTTGCTCATGATCTCTGCTAAGAACAAAATGAATGGCTCATGAACAAAATGAAAGCTATGGCGCCAAACTGGGGTGGAAACTAAGCGGTGGAATAGAAGATGTTTTCTTGGACATGTGTCAGAGGTTGCTATGAATTATTTGAACCCTCACACTATTAGAGATATTTTGTCCTGAGTAAATAATGCCAAATCAGTCTCATCCACAACTCGGTTAAGCATTTTCGTCCCTTTAAGGTGAACGAGGTTGGCAACTTATTGCTTGCTTTCAGGGAAAGAACAAACAAAATGTACTTTATTATCTGAATGTAAATCCAAACTTAACTGAGTTTGTTTATTTGGCTATAAATATGTTAATACAGGCAGAGAGACAATACTTTTGGCGCCATAGTTCAGTGTGTGTCAAATTTGTTGTTCTCCAGCCAAAATAGATTTACTTAGAAGTCTCGCTGACTTGTGTGGGGAACCCAGCAAACAGGCATTCAGCCGATCTTGTGCCGGTTTCCGTGGGGTGAACTCCCAGTCAATTCAGTGAGTGCTAGGCCTACGAGCTGGCCTTAATATTCCATCCCCGGAGCGCAGTCGGCTGTGTGTTTACTTGAATAGGGGCTGGCTCTGTTAAAGAGGTGCTTGCTTCCAAGTGGAGACCCCGGGCTCGCAGCCCGGAGACCCTCTTGCACGCACGTGCGCGTGGGAGGCAGCCCCACTGAGTTCAGCCAGAGTTGCACCCGGTGAGAGTCAGGTGAGGCCATCTCCAGGCTCGCAAGGGTTCGCCATGGCGGCCCCAGGGATATCTGCGGGAGCGCCAGAAGGCAAACCGTCCTTCTGGGAGCGGGAGCTGAGCTTTGCCTCACCTGCTAAACAAATAACGGTGTGTTTCAGCACGAACACTCCCATCCTCTTCCCCCCGGGGTAAACCTTGCTCGCCTGCCCTCCTTTCGACTGAGTTAGCTGTCCAAGAGGCGGCTTGGGGTGGTAGCTGTCCTACTCGTGTCCTGCGGACGAGCTGATCCAGCTCTGAAGGGACGCGGGCAGGATCCCCGGGCCCAGCCGCGGGGGGGGGGGGGGGGGGGGGGGGGGGCCCCCCGGCCGGGGGGGGGCCCCCCCCCCCCCCCCCCCCCCCGGCCCCCGCTTCCCCCTTTTTCCCCCCCCCCCCCCCCCCCCCCCCCGAAGGTTTGGTTCAAGAACCGCCGGGCCAAGTGGCGGAAGCGGGAGCGGAACCAGCAGGCGGAGCTGTGCAAGAACGGCTTCGGGCCGCAGTTCAACGGGCTGATGCAGCCCTACGACGACGTGTACCCGGGCTACTCGTACAACAACTGGGCCGCCAAGGGGCTCACGTCGGCCTCGCTGTCCACCAAGAGCTTCCCCTTCTTCAACTCCATGAACGTCAACCCGCTGTCCTCGCAGAGCATGTTCTCGCCGCCCAACTCCATCTCGTCCATGAGCATGTCGTCCGGCATGGTGCCGTCGGCGGTCGCCGGCGTGCCGGGCTCGGGCCTCAACAGCCTCAACAACTTGAACAACCTGAGCAACCCCTCGCTCAACTCGGCCGTGCCCACGCCCGCCTGCCCCTACGCGCCGCCGACGCCCCCCTACGTTTACCGGGACACGTGCAACTCCAGCCTGGCCAGCCTGAGACTCAAAGCCAAGCAGCACTCCAGCTTCGGCTACGCCAGCGTGCAGACCCCGGCCTCCAACCTGAGCGCCTGCCAGTACGCCGTGGACCGGCCCGTGTGAGCCGCGCCGCGCCGCCCCTGCCGCTGCGGGCCTGGGCGTCGCGCTTGCCGTCGCCGCCGCCGCCCGCCCCCC